ATTGAAGTGTACAAAGTAATATTCTCACTTTCAATGCATTGTACTTAACAAGGATATACCTATATACCACCACCCAAAAGACTCCTTGTGTACCAGGCTGGTGTGGCTCAGTGGTTGAGTGTCCACCTATGTACCAGGAGGTTATGGTTTGATTCCCAGTCAGGGAACATTCCTGGGTTGTGGGCTCTATCTCTAGTAGGAGGCATCCAGGAGCAGCTGATGGATGTCTCTCTCTCATCAATGTTTCTATCCCTCTGTCCCTCTCTCTTCCTCTCTGAAATCAATAAAAAATATATTTTTTAAAAAGACACCTTGTGTACCTTCCAAGTTATCCTAATCACTGACCTACTTTCTATTCAGTATTTGTAGTTTACCACCCCTCCTCCCCTCTTGGCCAGTTAATGGCTCTGGAGAAGAATCCTCCAATTCATTGCTACAGACAGTGTTTTATGAGCATGAATAAGAGAAGGTAACTCAAAAGGACTTGTATGCATGCATCTGGGCATGGCCAATGAACACAGACACTAGTGGGGTGAGGGCATGTGCTAGGGGATGGGAGTAGCCTGAGAGGGGCCAATGGGGGAAAAGGGAGACATATGTAATACTATATGTAAGTCTTTAAACAATAAAGAAAAAAAGAGAGAAGGTAACTCAGTTGTATGAAATGGGGGAGAAAATACAGGGTGAGGGGAGTCTACTTGTATCTTACATAGATTTTTAGGTACATTTTCAGTTTTCAGGTCACTCCTATTTCTACATGGAAAGTAGCAGGTAACACCAATTCACGAAGCTTTGGGGGGTTCTTCCGTGAGAATCAGGTTGCTTCTTTTGTTTCCTCGATGCTGAATGTGACGAACAGTTCTAAGGGCCCACAAAGTTACAAGCAGCTTTTGTGTCTGCTTTCTAAAATCCATGTTGTTTTCCTGAATCCAGGCCTCCCCGGAGGACATTCTGTTCCATTCAAAGTGTGGGGCCTTGTTGCTTTCATTTTGCTAATGCTCAACCTGGTAGTGCTGGCTGGACTGGGAACCCTGATCGTAATGAGTAAGTTTCTACTTTTCTCAGAGGCTATCCCTTGGTTTTATCAGGAACTTTACATTACTCTGATACATTATATAAACTTGAAAAATAAAAGATTTTTATAATTTGAAGGACTGCCAGGTGAACTAATATCA